AGAATGGTGCAGCAATGAAGGAATGAAAACCCAAAATCCCTGTAAATGTTCATTAAAACTAATAAAATTTAATAAAAAAAAGAATGTCTAAAAAACTGAATGTCACTATCTAAGTAAAACATTGTTTCCATATTGTTACAATAGTTTACAAAGGGCAAAACATATCCAAAATCATAGAGAGGTATCACCACATAAGCTGTTAAGTGAAAAATCCAGTTACCACTCCTTGGGCATTCACATCTGGCAAAGATTTACAGCCCCCAGAAAAGGAGGAAGGGTCATAACTACAAATCTACAGCAGTGTAGTAATATTGGTAGATATATTTTATTACCTCATCATGAACCACTACCTGCTTATACCTGGCCTCCCACACTTCTTGCTAGTGATAATATTGTGTGAGATCCCATCCTCCTCATTCTCAGCCTCACCTCCTCATTCTCAGCCTCATCTCTACTTCTCCATGTACATTCAGGTGAGAGATAATCCCTTCTTAGAGGTCTTTCTCCATACCCCACCCCAACTCCAAGCCTATCTGCAGCAAGAAATTAGCCTGTGGGGTCCTACTCCATTATTAAGGGTGGTTATTACATTTAGATTACTCTGGTAGCCCAAGGAAGGGGTAAGCAGTCAGCCAGCCAATCCAAACACAGATGCTTTGAATGCACCAGTTGCTTTCCAGGAGGGACATGGACAGTCTCCAACAGAGCAAGTTAGAGCCTCTGAAAACCTGCTGGAGTTTCAGCGACGAATTGGTGCTAACCTGATGTCAATGAGGAAAATGTTGTTATATTTAGCTCTCTACCCTATTCCATGTTATTGCTATTTGTCTAAATAGGCCCTAAAATTATGAAAGGAAAAGAAGCATATTAAACATACAAATGACAAGAGAGAAGGAATGAATGACCATTGCAGTTATCCTTCTACCTTGAGACACCCTCTTCAGCCCTAAAGCTGAAGGTACAGAGTATCAGGAGTGAAAGGAATCCTGTGGATTTCAACTCCCATTTGCTTTTTAGGTCCCGTGTTCTGGCTATTATTTGATTCCTTGGGTGCCATGGTAACCAATCACTGGAGAAAATGAATTCTAAGAGTTAACTTTCTAGTCACCTAGACTTAGAACCTGCTCTGAGGTTGGATGTAATTCCTAAGTAATGGATGGAGATTCAGTCTCTTAAATAGATGAAGGGTTGATTTGGTTTGTAACTGAATCTATACCAGGGTACCACAAGCTTTGCTAGTGGATATCTTGACCTCTCCACACACCTCACTGTTCTGGTGATAACCTACCTGTGTCTGAAAGACCTCATTCATGATCCTTATTCTTGTCCTCACCGCAGTAACTTCTATTTCTCCATAGATACTCAAGTGAAAGGGAATTCCTTACAAGAGGCCTTTCTCTGTACCAGCGTCACGTCACCACCACCACCCAGCTTGATTGCTGCAGGAATCAGCCTCTCGGATCTTATTGCATTGTTTTTAAAGTGTAGTTCTTATAACTCTGATAGCCTAAGGGGTAAAGAGCCAAGCTTTAAATCCACCAGTTTCTTTCCAGAATGTACATGAACAATTTCTTATTCAAATTAAGGCTCTGGCAAATAAAATAGATCAATAGTAATTCTGTAAAACTCAATGTACAAACACTATTATATTAAACAATATGTATGAATGATTATATAAAAGTGAATGATAGCTCAAATAAATTTTAGAAAGAGGTTAAGAGTTACAGAATAGGCAGGCATAGGTTTCTTAAGTCTTTGCTGCACTGCAATCTCCATAAGACACACATCCATGGATCTGTGTATAAGGAAAATAGAGTACCAGAGAGCTGTCAGAATGTTGGAACTGGTTATCACTGTCTTTGGATCAGGAGGTCCTACCGCATTTATTTTCATCTTTTATACCTTGCTGTGAGTGGGGTGGAGCTCCCCGATTAAACCAAGCTTGGGAGGAGGAGTAGCATCCACTTCCATAAGTAACTTGCCTCCGGAAACCCTATGAACCTGGAGAGAGGATGAAAGGCACCCAAGCGTCGAGGATTCTCCTTCTTAGGGTCGCTATGAGTCTCCTGCGACTCGACGGCACTTAACAACAACATACCTTTCTGTATTTTAAATTTTTATACAATGAACCACCAGCCCAACAGTCCCACCAGTGATCCGGTCCACCCACCTCCCAGACCAGTCAACGCCAGCTCCTGCATCAGCAAAGCCGACCTGCCCAGCCGGCCAGTCCATCGCCCAGTCTCCGCCAACGCTGTGGGCAGCAGCTGAGGACTCCACCCCACCTGCCTTCCTGACCAGTCACCTAACATCTGAAACGACGGCTGACCTGCCTGCCTGGGTCCCGGGTGAGCCCACCCACCCACACGTCAGCGCTGCTCTGCTCTCGGCTGAGGCCCATCTATCTGCCCAGCTTGGACGTGACTGGCCCTCACCACAGTCGAGCCTGTCCTCAGCCACCCGATAGCCTCATTACACCCTCCAACTCCCCTAGACCCGCCCTGCCTACCAACATCACACCCACACTCCCACCAGGCCCACCAGCCGGCCAGTCACTTGCGAACCGCCAGTGCTTTGGGCTGCAGCACAGCACACCCACCCGCCTGCCCACCCAGCGTGGAAGCTCTGGGACGCCGCTGCCAGCCCACTAGTCCATCTGTCCGCCCAGCCCAGGAGCGGCCATCTGTCGATCACCACTGCAGGCCTCAGGTGAGACCACCCACCCACTCGTCAGCTCGGCTCAGACACCACTGACTCTGCCTCTGTCTAGGGCCACAAGTGATCCCACCCACTCAGTCACCAGCGTGCCCACCCAGATCGCCCACCCCCCAGGGCCTAGCTGAGCCCCCCTACCCAGTGCCCACAGGGTCTGGACGCCGACAGTTCGGCCGTAGCTGGGTCCGCTGTCTGCCTGCCTGCCCACCCACACCCCTGCCCACCGCCTGCCCTCTCATACACCTGCACAACCACAAAATCTGCCCACCCATCTGCCTGTGCACACAATTGTCCACCCACGCACCTGCCCACCCACACGCCCTCCAGAACCCCAGGGGCCGCAGCCTGCACACCCTCCCAGCGGCCCAGGTGAGTCCACCCACACACCTCCAAAATCTTCCCCACCCGCCCCCAGACACCACCGAGTGTCCGCAGATACTGCAACCCCGCAGTGACCCTGCCCTCCCATAGATTCCAGAGTCCCAGAGGCTGACTGATGTCCTCTGACGTCACAGGAGGCTGCCTCGAGACTGACCTTAACGGCCTCAACAGCCACAACCGTCTCCTCACCTTGCGAAGCCACCGGCCACTAGCGGGTCCCCGCCTTGCAACACCACCAGCTGCCACCGGGTCCCAGCCTTGCAACACCATCAGCTGCCACCGGGTCCCAGCCTTGCAACGCCACGGGCCACCACCAGTTCCCCGCCTTCCAAGGCAACCGGCCGCCACCGGATCTCCGCCTAGCAAGGCCAGCAGCCACACTGGGTCTCCATCTTGCAAGGTCACCGGCTGCCACACAGTTCCCCCCTTGCAAGGCCACCATCCACCACTGGGTCCCCTTACTAAGCCACCGGCCACCACCGGGGCCCCGCCTTGAAAGGCCACCGGCTGCCACAAGGTCCCCTTGCTAAGCCATCAGCCGCCTCTGGGTCGCAGCCTTACAAGGCCACCGTCCGCGACCAGGTCTCCACCTTCCAAGGTCATTGGCAACCACCAGGTCCTATCCTTTCAAGGTAACCGTCCACCACCGGGTCCCCTTACTAAGCCACCAGCTGCCACCAGTTCCCTGCCTTGCAATGACCCCGGGCCACCACCTGGTCCCTGCCCTTGCAAGACCACCAGCTGCCACTGGGAACAGTTTTGTAAGGTCACCATGTGCCACTGGGCCCCCTTGCTAAGCCACCAGCCACCACTGGGTCTCTACCTTGCAAGGTCACCGGCTGCCACCCGGTCTCTGCCTTACAAGGCCAACATCCACCAACAGGTCCCCTTGCTAAGCCACCGGCCACCACCTGGTCTCTGCCTTGCAAGGCCACTGTCCGCCACTGGATCCCCTTACTAAGTGACCAGCTGCCACCAGGTTTCCTTGCTAGGCTACCAGCATCCACAAGTTCCCCGCCTTGCAAGGCCACCAGCCGCCACCTGGTCACCGCCCTTGCAAGACCACCAGCCACCACTAGGAACCACCTTGCAAGGCCACCGAGCACCACTGGATCCCCTTGATAAGCCACTGGCTGCCACCAGGTCTCCACCATGCAAGGCCACTGCCACTGGGTCACCTTGCCAAGCCACTGGCTGCCACTGTGTTCCCGCCTTGCAAGGCCACCATCCACCACCAGGTCTCCACCTTGGAAGGTTACTAGCCGCCAGCAGGTCCCGTCCTTGCATGGCCACCATCCTCCACCGGGTCCTGCCTTGCAAGATCACTGGCCGCCACCAGCTCCCACCCTTTTAAGACCTCTAGCTCCCACCGGGTCTCACCCTTGCAAGACCACCAGCCACTAGTCCCTGCTATGCCAGGCCACCATCTGCCACCGGGTCCCCTTGCTAAGCCACCATTCACCACTGGGTCTCGCCTTGCAAGGTCACTGACCGCCACTGGATCCCCTTGCTAAGCTAATGGCCACCAACAGTTCCCCGCCTTGCAAGGCCACCAGCCACCACCAGATCTCCACCTTACAAGGCCACTGTTCCCCACCGGGTCCCCACCTTGCAAGACCACCAGCCACCACCTGTCCCCTTGCTGAGCCACCGGCCGCCACCAGGTCTCCGCCTTGCAAGGTCACCAGCCACCACTTGTCCCCTTGCTAAGCCACCAGCCGCCACCTGGTCTCTGCCTTGCAAGGTCACCAGCCACCACTCGCCCCTGCTTTGCAAGCTCAATGCCCACCGGGTCCCCTTGCTAAGCCACCGGCTGCCACCAGGTCCTGCCCTTACAAGGGCACCACTGGCTGACACTGGCCCCCGTCTTGAAAGCCCACTGTCTGCCACTGGGGTTCCCTTGCTAAGCTACCAGCCACCACCGGGTCCCCTTGCTAAGCCAGCGGCCACCACCCTGTCTCTACCTTGCAGTCACTGACCACCACCAGGTCCCACCCTTGAAAGATCACAGGCCACCACTGGTTCCCACCATGCAAGGCCACTGGCTGCCACCAGATCTCTGCAAGGCCACCGCCTGCCACTGGGTCCCCTTGCTAAGCCACTGGCTGCCACCAGTTCCCTGCCACGCAAGGCCACCAGCCACCACCAGGTTCCCTTACTAAGCCTCTGGCTGCCGCAGGTCCCGCCCTTGCAAGGCCACAGGCAGCCACTGGGTCCATGCTTCACAAGACCACTGGTCACCACCGGGTCTCTGCCTTGCAAGGCCACTGTCCCCCATTTCTCAGCCTTGCAAGGTCACCGGCCACCACTGGGTCCCCTTGCCAAGTCACCAGCCACCACCGGGTCTCCGCCTTGCAAGGCCACCAGTTCCCACCCTTGCAAGACCACTGGCCAACACCAGGTCCCTGTCTTGCAAGACCACCAGCAGCCACCAGGTCCCCTTGCTAAGCTACCAGTCACCACCAGGTCTTGGCTTTGCAAGGTCACCAGCTGCCACTGGGTCCCGCCCTTGCAAGGCCATCGGCCGCCACCAAATCCCGCCCTTGCAAGACCATTGGCCAACACCGGGTCCCCTTGCTAAGCTACCAGTCACCACCAGGTCTCGGCCTTGCAAGGTCACCAGCTGCCACTGGTCCCCACCTTGTAAAGTCACCAGCCACTACTGGGTCCCGCCCTTGCAAGACCACTGGCCAACACCAGGTCTCTGCCTTGCAAGGCCCCCCAGCCGCGACCAGGTCTCCGCCTTGTAAGGCCACCAGCTGTCACTGGGTCCTGCCCTTGCAAGACCACTGGCCAACACCGGGTCCTCGTCTTGCAAGATCACCAGCAGCCAACAGGTCCCCTTGCTAAGCCACCAGTCACCACCAGGTCTTGGCCTTGCAAAGTCACCAGCCACCACTGGGTCCCACCCTTGCAAGGCCATCGGCCGCCACCGAATCCCGCCCTTGCAAGGCCATCGGCCGCCACCGAATCCTGCCCTTGCAAGACCATTGGCCAACACCGGGTCCCCATCTTGCAAGACCACCAGCAGCCACCAGGTCCCCTTGCTAAGCCACCAGTCACGACCAGGTCTCAGCCTTGCAAGGTCACCAGCCACCACTGGATCTCTGCCTTGCAAGGCTACCGGCCACCACCGGTCCCCACCTTGCAAAGCCACCAGCCGCCACTGGGTCCTGCCCTTGCAAGGTCACTAGCTGCCATCGGGTCCCCTTGCTAAGCTACCAGTTGCCACCAGGTCTCTGCCTTTGAAGGTGACTGGCTGCCACTGGATCTCTGCCTTGCAAGGCCACCGGCCACCATCGGTCCCCAGCTTGCAAGGCCACCAGTTGCTACCTGCTCTCAGGGAGGCCCCATGCAGCAGGCACCCACCCACCAGCACTGCCTGTCCAGCTCAGACTCTGCTTTCACCTTGAGGCTGCAGGCCCTAGGTGAACCTTCCCAGCCATGCAGTTTTCCATCCCAGACGTCACCAACTGTCAGCCGTCCACTCAGGAGACCACCCTAGAACTGACCATCCACCTGGGCCATCTGCTTGAAGGCCGTCTGTCCAATGCTCAGCCCGCAAGGCTGCCACCGAGCCAGCCACTGAGCGAGTTTCTGATCCTGCCTGTGGGCTTCTGATCTGCCAATAGCCCCTAAGCTGGCTATTGATCCCTCTAGCGGCCATAAAGCAGGTTTCTAATCCCTCTGGCCACCAGTGAGCCAGCTTCTGATCCCGCAGGTCACCCCAGAGCAGGTTACTGACCGCACCACCAGGGCCTCCCCCAAGCCTTCAGGGCGCAGAAGGCCTGTATAGAATGTACACACCCGCCTGGCCTGGACACCAGAGGCTCTGCATGGTGTCTGTCCACCCAACTCCACTCCCTGCAGCCACTCACCACCCGCCTGGCCCCAACCGATCCGGCGGCATAGTGGTGTGAATCGCGAGTTTTTCCTTTAAACATTTTCCGCTCATCTCTCATCAGCAGGGTGGACAAGCTCTGGTCTCACACCTTGGAAAACACACCCTCTTCTTCCGCTGGACTAAGTGCTGACACAGTTGACCAGATGGATCTAAACTGACCGCTTCTGTAGACCCTGAAGACGTAAACTCTGAAGTAAAGATACTGTCTACAAATTCAGAATTTTTTAAAAAAAATTTTATTTTTTTGTGTGTACCATCAAATCAGATCTGACTGGTACAGGAGGAGATTGACCCTCCTTCTCCAGCAGAATATCTGGTGGATTCAAACTGTGAACCTCTGGGATTGCAATGCAATTTCTTGCCACTAGGCCACCAGAGCTCCCTCAAATTCAGCATTTTTACATCCTTAATTCCATATGAGTTACAAAGCTGAATGTGTGGTGACGTTGAAGAACTTCGACAAGCCGCAGATCATCCAGCTGCACATTCGCATGGCGTGGGATGTAGCTGTTGATGCAAGGGACCCAGAAAGAGCTGAATTGAAAGTAAAGAATCTCCAAGAATGGATGAAGGAGGCAAAGGGTTTTCCACCTAAAAGTGCTGAGGAAAATACCAATGTGTGTAGGCAGAATAAAGCCAATGAGAATGACTGTGTTTATGAAGACTGCTCAGAAGACGACTCCAGTTCCCTGCTAAATGTCGCCAGTTGACAAACACCAATTCTAAAGAGATAGAACCAACTCTAAGCAGAGTGGAGAGTGCTGAGAAAAATGAAGATGATGAAGACAGTAAATCTGTTTTGAATAAATATACTCAGGATGAAAATGTCAAGTTAACCAGGGGTTCCTCTTCATGGATAGCTAAGGTCAGTGATGAGAAATAGCACTCCTTGAATCACCAGAAAATAAAGATGTTTTGCAAGTTGCACAAAGGCCTAGAAGAAATCAGGATGATAAACCCTTACAGGTGAGCAGGAGGAGAAACCTCAAAAGAGGGCAGGGAAGGGCCTTCTGAGGGGCAGGTGGGAAATGAGGGAACTTTACTACTTGTGGAGACCCAGACCTTCTGGTCTCTGATGGAGGGGTTAGGTGGATAACGGTGGAATGAGTCAGGGTGGAGGGAAACTCCTGTGGACCAGTGACCAAGAGAAGAGGCTAGGGCAGCAATGAGACAGGCTCACAGTTAAGACCAGAAAGTTCCACGATGACCCTTCAAAAATAATGTACTCACGAACACTTAAACTTTACATTTAGAGCTGGCTACTTTTGGTGAAAGGATTTAGATTCCATAAATGGTTAAAATAGACTCTTTGTTCTTCAGCCTGTGTTGACATAACTCACTTTTCTTGGTAGACAATCCGGACAATTTGGTAGCCTACAGAGAAACCTTTCAGAAACATCAGTTATGATAGAGGAGTGGGAGCGTCCTTGAAGACCCCAAGTAACCTCTGTGTGCTTCTGGGCTTTATTGAAACGGCTGAGGAATCGAGTCAACTCCTCAGCATTTAAGAACGGCCGCAGCCGAGAGGAAAGGGCCACCAAGAACCCCCTTTGGCAGGCAGTGAAGAAATTGTCATCCACAAAAAAATAGAAAAGCTAACCCTCAGCAATTCTGGTCACTATGTGATCAAGTGATCAAGATTTCACTGTTATGTAATCACAAACCTATGCTGTGTTATTTCTTTAAATAAAATATTCCTGTTTGTCATGTTTTCCTCTTTCTCATTTAGCTGAGACTGAAAAACATATCTAGAAGACTGTGTCATAAAATTTCAAAAAAATTGTTCTATTTCACCCTGGTTTGCTTTTATTTTAACTTCTTTTACCATTAACATAATTATCACTTTCAGAAGGCAACAGGACAATCCCACTAGACTTGCAATGTAGCATTTTTGTTTTGGTTGAACTTCTGGAATTGAGAGAATTTCTGAGGCTCATCTGGCGCTGGGACACTTAGGAAAGTTAGTGTCAGTGTCTTGAGAGCTCGGAGGATGGCGTCGATGATCTGAGGGGGCCAGCTGGTTCTAGCACACGTTGCCTTGGTTATAAGGTGATCCACTTTAGAGAAATGTGAAGGCTGAGAATGTTCCCTTGATCTCCAGAAGTCTACCTTTGTCTATAGACAATATTTCATCCTTTCTAGACTTGTAACAAGAATTAAATAATATAAGGACTTGACAAATCTCATTACTGTTATAAGGATCTCCCCATAATCCTTGACCCTGGAAACATCCGAAAGATTTCAAGAGTAAGCCCTCATTCAAATATTCCTCACACAGAAGTAGAATAGGCCTTGTTGTGTTATAAGATTTCTAACATAGTTTTGCTTATTTTTTGGTTATAAATTTGCTTAATTGTCATGAACCTATCTCAAAGATCCAAGCAATGCTTTGAGACAAAACAGTTGAAAACAGGCAATATTCCAGTACCCTTCTCATTAAAATAATGACATATCCCTTGATACTATTGGAGGTATGCTAGATTAGAGGAAGGTCCTCAACTTTGTGCTACAAACTATGGACAGGGATTGGGTCTGGAACGTCCCCCTGCACACCAAATGAGCTAACTGGGCATAGACATTGAAAAGCCCTGGTCTGAGTGTAACTACAAGTCTCTCATGGAATTATTTTCATTATCAGGTGCTATCTGTAAGCTAGGAGCTCTGGCGGCTTAATGGCGAAGAGTTGTGCTGCCTTCCCAAAGTCAAGCAGTTCAAATCCATCAGCTGCTGTGTGGAAGAAAAACAGGGACTATCCTTCAGGGCAATGAAGGGTCTCTGAAAATCTGCTGGAGGGTCAGGGTACATAACAACCACAACAATAGTATCTATAACATCTCTAAGCTAGTGTGCTCTGGTGCTAAAGTGCATTGAGAGATATGCTGCTAGGCAAAAGGCCATGCCTCTGTGGTAATTCAAATCCACCAGTGGCTCCTTGTCAGAATGAAATCTCCTGCCATTCAGTTTATAGGCACATATGAAGGTCATTCATGAGTCCATTTTTACTAAATAACAGTGAGAGGCACCAGCTCTTCAGAAGCTCTAGTTGTGCAAATAGAAAGGTTTGAGTCCAATAGCAGCTGTACAGAAGAAAAATGAGCCATCTCCTCCAGTAAAGGTTTTCAGCTTGGGAAACAGAGGTAGCAATTGGTCAGAATCAGCCGGATGATGGGAGGTCGGGGATACTATCTCTTATCCAGCATAGCTGTATCCATACCCTGGCTTCTTCTTTTCAAAAAGATGTATGTCATTAGCACACATCTTCTGATGTCTTTAAAAAAACAAACAAACAAACAAAAACCAAAAACTCCAATCTCCTTGAAATTCCACTGAGAAACACCCTCAGTTAAGTCCAAACTGACTCATAATGGACCCTGCAGTTGGATTTCAGAGGCTATAAATTACAAGGGAGATCACATATCTTTCTCCTATGCTGGTAGATTCAAAGGGCCAGAGAGGTCCCACCTTAGGTTCAGCATAATAATGCCTACGAATCACACCACAAACTCCCTCGAGGTTCTACACCACCAGAGGAGCTATTCCAGGGAAGTCATTTACCTCTTGGCTGTGTTGCTAGGTGCTGTTGTGTCTACTACGATTCATCTCTATGAGATTGCATCTCCATGAGAACAACAGATCTGAATTTTGCCCTATCCTGTGCCATCAACTCATAAGACCCTATAGAGCAACAGATCCTAACCTTGCCCTATCTTGTGCCATCCTCAGTATCTCTGATATACTCAAGCCCATTGTCACAGTCACAAGTGTCAGTCCATCTTGTTGAGGTCTTCCTCTCTTGTCCTAACCATCCCTAGCATGGTGTCTTTTTTTCCCCCAAGGACTGGCTCCCCCTACTAACAATATGCCCCAAAGTATGTGAGAAGAACTGTTATCACCCTTGTCTCTAAAGAGCACCCTGGTTGCACTTTCTTTAAGATGTATTTGCTTATCTATTGGCAGATACAGTATCCTTCTCCAGCACCACAGTTCAAAGGCACTAATTCTGAGTGATATATTTAAATCCCTTAATGAACTTAGGAGGATCAACTAAGAAGCTCCCTAGGTTTTCTCCACAGGTTTGTAGGTTTCCTAATGGGAGAAAAAGTGTCTGTGCTCTCACAAGGTACTATCCTAGTATTGTCGCATCCTGTAATGGTAGAAGTTAAGAAAAACTGGAGCAGGAGCTAGGGTGCAGGTGGGGTATAGTAATCCTTGGAACTGGTGGTTGAGGAGAGTGGGGTGGGTACTAACTTCTTGGGAGATGTCCTGGGCAAGCCATCATGAGGAAGACAG